AAGTAATTACCAGGCAAGACTTTGAACCCTGTCAAAGTTTAACTGGGTTGATGACTGGAGTTAAGCACCGGAGAGTCAAAGTGAAAAATGCTGTCGTACTCCTGAAATCACTACACTGGTTTTGAGTGTTGGAGATGGAAGCCAGGATTTTTGGTGTGGTGCAGGGAAAAAACAGTGTGTCCACAAGATCCTATTCTTTAAGGGAAGAAGTCCACTTTTCTGTGCTGCTTTTGGTGCTGTTTGCCTGTTGGACCTCCCCCACATTGCCCTTTGCAGTTCTGTTAGGATAGCTGCTGACTAGCTGTCACTCCAGCCAGAAATCACTCTTTGGAAAGTGGCCCGCAGTGGCCAGGAGGTGCAGGCAGGGCCTGTGTCTCATCTGTGTGTGCCTTCCCTGCCAGGTATGTTGGGCAACCTTTGCCAGATACATTAGGAGGGCAGATGCATTTACCCAGCCTAGGTCATCACTAGGAAACCTACCAAGACTGTGTCCCTGCTGAGACAGTGCTTGGGTCTGTCCCCTGGGTGAGTCACCAAACACCAAGCCAGGCCAGAAGCACTGCCCGCAGCCTCTGATTTGTGGGTTCCTAGGGAGCCCTAAGCGCCTAAAAAGTGTGGGAAGGTCTAAATTTTTGCTTCCATATGTAAGGGGGTGGGGAAGAGAAAGAGTAGGGATTATAATTTTTAAATGTTTAAGGAAATGGGGCTGCACCCTATAATATTTAGCAATTCAGATTTGAGGACAAAACTGTTTGGGTCCAGACCCTGGCCCCGCCATTCTTCAGCTGTGTGACTCTGGTCAAGTCATTTAATCTCCCTTTGCCTCATTTTCCCCACCTATAAAATGGGAATAAATCTCAGTAATCTCTACCTTTTAGAGTTACTATGAAGATTAAATCACTTAATTTTTTTTCCTCCAGTACTGGGGCTTGAATCCAGGAAGAGAGCAACTCTATCCCAGCCCCTTTTAAATTTTTATTAAAAAATACTTATTTTATTTTATTTTTTAAATTGCCCAGGCTGCCATCAAATTTGTCTGACTCAGCCTGCTGAATAGCTGGGATTATAGGCAAGCAAGTTCCATCTCAGCCAGCCATGAGTTAATTTTTGTAAAGGACTTAGGACAATGCATGGAACACAATAATCCATACACTTGTTTGTTAAATAAAAAAGAAAGGATTTTTTCTTATCTCGTCTTCCTAACTCCCCTGACCCCCACAGTCAAATCAAGGTGAATGCATATACCTGATCTCTTCTTCTTTCTTCCAGTGATTTCATCCTTAGCACCTGTCTTGCCGTCCCCAGCCTCTGGATCAATTTTCCAGGGAAGCCATAACAAATTACCGTGAACTTTGTAGCTTAAAACAACAGAAATTTATTCTCTCAACAGTTTTGGAAGGTAGAATCCAAAATCAAGGTGTAAGCAAGGATGGCTTCTCCTGGAGCTCCGGAGGAAGCATCTGTTCTGTGCTGTTCTCCTTTAGCTGCTTGGAGTTCTCTGGCTCCTAGCAGATGCTTTGTGTTTGTTCTTACATGGGTAGCACATTCTGTGGTTCACTGCAGATCTTGCCACTCTGTCCTCTGTGCCTGATCCCTGATTTGTGGGTAGCTCCAAAGGACTTTGCCACATGTGCTTTCTTCTTGTTTCCCCTGAGGGTCAAATGCTTTCCATCTTATTTCAAAATGTTCTGGTGAAGACTCAATTCAATTTTTCTAGAAACTATGAATGGCTTGTAGAGCTCAATCTGACTTTGGAAAGACTTGGCTCCTCCAGTGAACTCTGTTATTGCTTTACTTCATTAAACCAGAAACCCTTAGAGACCTTCTGAGTGATCAGTTGCAGGGAAGCCTCTGTCACCACAATTGCACACACCTCCCTGTCCCCCAAGTACAGCATTTTACGAACATCTCTGCTATTCAAGTTCAGCATTTTATTTTTCAGCCATGTCACTGGTCTAAATCCTTGAACCCAACCCATTCACCCAGATGAGTAACTTTATTTCTCCCTTTGTTTGTTATCCATATCTCCATCTTTCTAATGTCCGTGATCAGTGATTAACTCACCAGAGACATGCCAAAGTGATTCCAGCTGTAACCAGGATGCTTAAAAGTGCTTGGCAATTTTGGATCCTGCTTTGAACTCAATGGATTGTAATCTTAAATTACTTAAATTTATCTCTTTAGTCTGATCCAAATCCCTTTCTCTGCTCTTCAGGCGAAGTTGGGCACAGACTTCTTCTAAGCTTTATTAAGAATATTCTGTAAGTTTTCTGTTTGGTTTTAAACTTCAAATAACTCTTAAAATCAATATTTTGATGACTGAAGTGTAAATGAATGAGAAACATGGAATAAGTTCTCTCTTCAGTTACATGAACAGAAATTCTATGTGTTTTTATTGGAAACCTATGCAAAGTAACTCAGGGCAATCACTAAGCTCCCAGTAAAATCTTGGGGCTCCCTGTCACTTTGGTTTTGATTGTGCACTTTTTTTTTTTTTTTTTTTTTTTTTTTTTTGATACCAGGGATTGAACTCAGGTCCTTGCGCTTGTGAGGCAGGCCATGGAACACTGAGCTAAATCTCCGGCGCTATGATTGTGCACTTTTGTAAGGAGAGTCTCAAACCAAAATGGGTTCTGTGGTCCTCTCTGGTTTTCCTCATATTTTTGGAGCTCTACTAAATTACCATTGTTCCGTTTTTTCCTTGAAGATCTCAAAATCTGTGCAATTCCAGCCCTCCACATAAGCAGTACCATTTAGGTTCTGATGAATTGGCCAGAAGACAAGGTTAAAAATTAGTTATGGCTAGCTGGGCCTGGTGGTGCACACCTGTAATCCCAGCACTCGGGAGGCAAAAGCAGGAAGGCTGCTGAGTTCAAGGCCAACCTGGGCTACATAGTGAGTTCAAGGACAGTGTAAACTACATAGTGAGACTGGTTTCAAAGCAACAGCAACGACAAAATTAGTTATGGCAGTTTTCTTTCTCAATAAGGAAACAAATATACTTCCATCCTTAGAGTGGGTTCTTTTGTTTGTTTGTTTTTGTCAATTATTGCTTTTATTTTGCTTATGACAGTATGATAGGTGAGCTTGTGGCAACTCGTTTTCAAGAAGTAGACAACTTGTCTGATGCTCTAACTCAAGTTAATCAGCCGAGGGAGGGAATCAGCTTGTGATATTCTGAAAGGCTGTGGCCCTAAGTTTTAACTTCTGCTCTTCTTCTTCCTCTTCCTCCTCCTCCTCTTCTTCCTCCTCCTCTTCCTCTTCTTCCTCCTCCTCTTCCTCTTCTTCCTCCTCCACCTCTTCTTCCTCCTCTTCTTCCTCCTCCTCCTCTTCTTCCTCCTCTTCTTCCTCCTCCTCCCTCCTCCTCCTCCTCTTCCTCTTCTTCTTCTTCATCTTGTTCTTCTTCTTCTTCCTCTTCTTCCTCTTCTTATTTTTCTTCTTCTTTTGTTATTTGATTATAAACCTGTTTAAATTTTTTTGTTTTGGTACTGTGGATAGAACCCAGGGCAGCCAGCACTCTACTCGCTCTTTTTACTTTATTTTGAGACAAGATCTCAATAAGTTGCCTAGGCTGGTCTTAAACTTGTGATCTTCCTGTTTTAGTCTCCCTGGTAGTTGAGATTACAGGTGTGTGCCACCTCTTCTCATGGCTATAACGCTTTTTGTGCAATAATAAAACTCAAATAATGTTTCATTTATTTTTTTCTCTGTGTCCTTGTGGCAGTTATAGCAGTAACTATGTATAAAACAGGTATCTGTAAAACTATCTGTAACAACAGATGGTTTTATCTACCACTAATAGCCAAAAGAATTACATTTCTCCTTCACAGAGATATTTACATGTCAGAAATCAAACTAGCAATCTAAAATCAGAGCATACTTTTTCTAGAACAGACAACACAAAAACAATTGACTTCTGTATTTCTTTTCCTATATTCTGTATCTGTTACATTATGTGTTCTGTCATTATAACCTAAAGTTCTAACATTTCATTTCTTCCATAATATTTTAGAATTGCCAAGTTTATTGATGCCCTTTGTTGGCTGAATTTTGGCTTAGCTGCTTCTTTTTTATCTAACATAAGGATGGTGAATAGGTATGGATATCTTTCCCGCCCCATTTGATTAGGACTGTGATCTCATCCCTGACCATATATTAAAATCATTTGGGGAGGTTTTAATAATGCCACCCCCCACCTCACCCCTGGGGATTTCACAATCTCTAAGTGCTGGGATCAGGCATGTTTCAAATCTTCCTTGGTGATTCTCATGTGTGGCCAAGGTGAAGGATCTTTTATCTGGATCAGGCTTACCTGGAGAATTTGTTGAATATAAATTTCCAGGCCCATCGCCAGGGTTTCTGTCACAGTAGGTGTGTGGTGGGTCTCAAGAATGTGCATTTCTAATAAGTTTCTGGATGATTCTGATACTGGTAGTTGGGGGCCCACACTTTGAGAACCACTGTTGTGAAGTGTTATGTTGAGGAATCTGAATATGAATTAAGGTTTCATAGAAAAGAGGACCATGATTCATTAGTCATGGCTGCTATGGTCACAGGAAAAAAGCAATTCTGTTTATTGACTTCACTCTTGAGAAACATATCAGGAAACTTCTCAATAACAGGGCAGAAGCTGATTACTCTTTGAATGTTTTCCCCTTTCCAGTTAATTCTACTCATGTGACAGTTTGTTCCTCAACCCACTGTCTACACGTCCCAGCCAGGTCTAGAAGTGGTCTAGTAATCTAACCTGGTGCTCATCTACCTATTGCAATCTGCTCTTGTTCTCCTATAAGAATGAGTTATTTTGTCCAGTTTTCTGGTTGAGACCCAGCGATGGAGTCCCAGAACAGATGAGTTTTAAGGCCATAGCTAGAGGACTGCAGATGATCAGGGAGCAACGTCAAGGCCGGAAAAGAGGCGCTGCAGAGTGCAAAGAACCGGACTGTATCCACTTTAGAACCTGTCCTGAGATTCTTAAGTACTTGTTTGTTTTTCCTCAGTTCTGAAAGCCTCTACTGACCAGAAAACCTGCCCAGAAACTGAAGCCAACAATGGCCATGCTGAAACTTCAAGCACCTTTCCTGCTGTCACTGAGAAAAATCGGTGAGTCTCACTCGCACAAATTCTCTGTTGTAAACTCAAGTGCTGCCTTACAGTGGACAGTGCAGTGCTTCCACCACTGTGTAATTTTGATGAGTTGTCAAGGATGGAGCCAAAAGTGTCTCCCATGAGATTCTCCCAATATGGAGGCGATCACCGCATCTTTACTGTACAATAGCATCCTGAACTCTGTTCTCCTTCTTGAGTTCTTCTCATGGTAAAGCCTGTACTTGGCCTCACTGTGGTTCTCAACTGGAGACCGTTCCTCCTGTCCCACCAGACATTTGGCAAACGTCTGAAGATATTTGTGGTGGTCACAGGTTTGGGGGGAAAGGGTTATACTACTAGAGTGTAGCGGCCAGAAACAAGTGATGCTCTTAAGTGTCCCCAAAAACATGCCATGATGTCCTTGAAGCAAAGAAGTGTCCAGCCTGAAATACCTATAGTCCTGAGGCTGAGAAACTCTGTATTCAAGCCAAAGCCAAAAGGGAGTATAATTTCCTGCTTTCCTACAAGTTGTGTTAAATATAAATCAAAGGCAGTGAAGCAAAGTCTGTTGGGTCCAAAATGTACTATTTTCAGTGGTCACCTGAGCTGCTTTAAGGACTGTGATTGGCTAAATGTGGGCTCAGGCCATGACACCAAGCCCTGCTCTTTAGGAAAGACTTCTGCCTTCTGTCGGAACAGTCGCCCAGACCCTGTCACTTGTACACCAGGAGGAGGACACAGCTGTGGGAAGGGGTGGACGACGGAAAAGGCACAGTCTAACAGGATGAAGCAGCTCTGCCTTTTGTATTTTGCCTCAGGTTGATTGTGGCAATGTCATTAAAAGTTTAGTCAAGCATTTGAAGAAAGAAGCAGGTTTTATATTAAAGAGTTCTTTGCATCTTTTTACCTGAAAAGAAAGGTAGTCTTGATTTAAATTTTTTTCCAATTGTTTAAGACTTCTTAGTATTTTTGAGATTTGAAAAATTAAATTCTGAAAACTTCTCTCTTAGACTGTTGCTGGACAACCTTTGAAGTAGACTACTTTATGTTACTTGCCCAAAAATCCCAAATAGTTTATTGAAGCATTCTTAAGGAGAACTAATACCTCCCCTTAGAATAACAAAGTTTAGAATTTCTGATCTGGCAGAAAGATCACTCAGTTTCCCAGGTATAAGATTTTGGTTTTGGTCCTAGTGCTAACATCTTCCAGCTGTTTGACTTTGGGCAAATCAGTGATCCAACTTGGAAAATGAGCCTCAGCCTGATTCAATCTCAGTACTGACTAACTTTACTGAGAATATCTGAACCCTTCCCAGGGCCGTTCTCTGAACCTTGCACCTCTTATCTTTTTTTTTTTTTGTACCGGGGATTGAACTCGGGTCCTTGCGCTTGCAAGGCAGGCCACCGAACCGCTGAGCTAAATCCCCGGCCTGCACCTCTTATCTTCATTGACCTTTCTTCCCTTGTTACCATCTTTTGGATCACAAGACTTTCTTGCATAGTGTTCCAGCCCCACAGTGGGCACTGTGAGGGGAAACTCAGTTTTCCTTGAAAGGTTTGATAATTGAGTTTGCTGAAAATAAATGGACAGTACATTAATAGGAGAGAAGGCATACAAATGTATTAACAGTACTTGTGTGCAAGAACCACCCAAAATATGAAACTCTGGGGCTCGATACCTGAGGCTTAGATATTGTCTTCCTAGGGGAGAGAGAGGAGGAGGGCATATACAATTTTATCAGAAGGGAATTTTAGAGAAAGAATGAGCTAGAAAAATAGACACTGGCCTGGGACAAAATTCCTCTGGGCTCCAGGTGTGTTGTTTGATTCTCAGTCTCTTCCTCTGTGGTATGACTTTAATCTTCCTTAGTTAATGAAATTTCAGTAAGAAGATTGAAGGTTGTTGCGCTCCTCTTTGGTGGATCTGGTCTGCTGGTAGATAAGAGTTCAGAGAAAGCCCTTCCTGCATTTGCTGCCTCTGAGGTGCTTCCAAGTTAAAATCTAGAGTGACAGATTCCAAGTGTCATTTGCTGAGCCCCTATAGTACACATCTTGCTCTCCCATCCTTCCCACCCTGCTGTGTGTTCCCCTTTAGCTTTCTCCAGGCCCCATCATAACAGAAGCCTGCCTTAGCCTACCCCCTACCTCTTCCTGCTTTTACCAGCAGACTTCCTCAGACCAGCATTTTGGTCTGCTGCCTCGTTGCTTACCAAACCAGTCCCTCCTGACTTAACCCTGTAATCATTGCCTTCGCTGGATCCCTAAGCCTGACCTCAGGAAGCTCAGATCCCAGTCACCTCGTCTTCACCAGAGTCTTTGTGGTGTTCAGCAGCATGGGCCACACTTCCTTGAATTGTTTTCTTCAGGTTCCCCCCCAAACATATACTTAGTCTCTGTTTTCTCTGGCTCCATCCTCCTTCTCTGCTACCCACCATAGGGAGGCAGGCTGTTCTCCTTGTGCTGGACTGCCCTCCTTCCCTACTTAGCCTGAGTGCTGTCATCTCACTGATGCCGGCTCTCAGCTGCACAAGCTGAAGTCCCCGATCCCTGTTCTGAGCTCCACACCCCCACACCCAATGCCTGCTGGACATGTGTTCCTGATTTACATCCCAGGCCTCAGCAGAAAATCCCCCATGAAAGCATCTCCACCAGACCTTGCCACTCTGGCCTTGAAATCCAGCACTGTCATTGTTGATGCCAATCTCTTACTTAAGCCCATCTCCAGCCACTTTTTAAGTTCCAGACCTGCGATGACCTCTTTCTTGCTCCTTCTCTTCTCTTACCAGACCAGCTTTCATTTCTGACACCCCATCAATTGACCTACAGCTTATTCTTATTTGTTCAAATAACTTTAATGGCTTCCCATTTTAGGCTAAAATCTGCTATGCCACACCTCTCCCTTCCTGTTTCAGTTTGTCTTTGGCGCTCACCTCCAACTTGTCCTTATACCCACCCCATGGCTAACTGGAACCAGACTTGTTCTTCTGCCGATGCACCTGCCATTTTCTTCTTTTTTCTGCCCATTTCTTCTTTTTGTTCAACTCTTACCTTTTCATTCAGATACATCTTCATGGCCTCTTCTGAAGGCCTTAATCTCTTAGCATTCCTTCAACCATAGTCCAGTTGCAAAGGTGCTGTTTCACAACGAGGTAATGAACTTGTTCCTGATGTAAATCAGCCCACACTGCTTTCTTTATCAATAAACAAGCAAACAAACAAGCTGAACTCAACAGTGATGATTTATACCCTAGCACAAGCTCCTTGTGGCATTGTGGGTGGTAACAATGCACAGACTGGGTCCTTAGACCACACTTTGGTTTATCAACTCCAGCTTCGAAGTTTGTCAGGTGTTGTGGACGACCACATTCTAGGAAGTTAGCTTCTCACGGACGAGGACTGGGTCTGATTTATTTTTTCTTATAGCTAATATACATAGCAGGATATATATACTTGCTGAATTTATGGGGATGACTTCCAAGGCCACTCCTCAGAACCTAGATTTTAATGAAAGAAATGTTCTTCTTGTGTAGTCCTTGAGTGGTGGCAGCAATAAGAAGATCCAGCATAATTAATCAGACCTTGTTGTGGCATCCGTATTCCAGAAGCTGGGGCCCTTTTATCCCTTGTGTTTAGTTGCCCACTCAATGTTCAATACAAGAGTCGATAGAAGGGAATTCTTCGATATGGACAGAGAGGCCAGGCGGACGGTAGAAAAAGAAGACAGATGATGTCTGGTGATGACGTTCTCAGTGCCAAGCAGTAGACCTCCAACCAAAAGATTCAAGGATCCCTTGGGACAAGAGGTCAGCCAGTCAGGGATACCATCAAGGACACAGGCCTCTTTCTAAGAGTTGCAAGTCTTAGCATATTGGCAGTGGCCCTACTTAGGACCACAGATGACTGAAGCAACACTAAGCATCCCTTCCTCCCATGTCAGGGTCTGAAGTGGAAAGGAAGAGCAGGCTGGGACAGGGCTTCTTCTCTGGGGTTTCTCTCCAGACTTTCTGGGAGTCCTTCAGGAGACTTGCCTTGCATGCTATTGACTAGAATTTGCAGAGGTGGCTCTGCAGGGGAGCTGCAGTGGGGGCAGGGAAAGTGCACATTAGCATTTAAGATTCTACAGGAGAAAGTAGGCAAGGGAGGAAGGGACTGAAGAAGCAACCAATGATGTGTGCCTTAGGGTCCTCAGGGGCAGTGATGCAGTAGATAGGTATCAGGGAAAGATAACAGGAAGGCAAACTGAAGGGAAGAGTTCACACGGAAGACCCAGATGTGACCAGAAACACTGCTGAGAAGACCAACAGAAGTATCGAGGTCACCACTCCAACTCACCCAACACTTTCTGCGAGGCCAGGCTTTCCCATACATGGTCTCTTCTACTTCAAATACCAGGATTTTTTTTTTCTTTTTTGTACTGTCTCCATGTTACAGATGAGTAAACTGGATCTGGTGAAGACTAATACAAGTAGCTTCCGAATGTTAGTTCAGAACCTCATGCTGGGTTGCTGGGACATAGCTCAGTGAATAGAGTGCTTGCCTAGCGTGTTCAAAGCCTTGGGCTTGATTCCCAGCACCGGGGGTGGATACCAATGTGCTGGGCAGATTTACATAGTGCTGGCCCTTACTGGCTAGTCTGGAAGTCATGGGATCACTCAGTGTTACACAGAGATGAATGGCAGGCTGGGGTTTGAATCCACATCTTTTTGTCTCCAACAGTGACAACAACAGCTAGTTTGGTATTCTCTAACATCTTCCCGTGCACTGTGTCAAGTGTATTACATGCATTAAACTAGCCAGTCTGTGGAAGAGACACACATTTTATACTACTGATATTTAGAGATTACAGATAACTTGCTTATGTCATTTAGTAAAGTGACATAGTCAGGATTTGAACACAGGCCTTCTGCTCTAGCACCCTTACTTTGTTTTACCCCCAGTACTGTGGATTGAACCCAGGACCTTAAATTTTAACATAGATCTCTCTAAGTCGCTATGTTGCCCAGGCTCAGGTAAAA